CCCCAAAACCCCAAAACCCCTTAATATTAAATTTTTGCTAAAGTGTTATTAAATTTGCCATTAATTAAATATAATCATTTTATAGATATCTTCTTAACTTCACCTTTAATTCCAGCAATATATATATCTGAATCAATTTAAACAAATTTTCTGCTCATTTAATTCAGCTTTATTCTCTCAACTGTCTCTAAATTCATTCTAATCAAAGGGTTTCTACTTTGTATTTGATTGCATATATTAACATTTCCCTCAAAATCCATAGCAATAATCCTACTATCCTATTTCTTTTTATCATCGATTTTTCTGTAGAAATCAGAATAAATAACTTGCTTTCTTTCAATATCAAAAGCTTTTAACTTCAATTACTTTGTTTTTTCATTATAAGTAAATACACTAATACCTTCCTCATTATCCCCAATCAGGATTAATCCTAGCCTTTAACCATTTTTACTTTAGTCAGACCATCTCCAGTTCACAGTTCTAAGCTAAGCTCTAAGTCTATGGTAAGAAAGGCAAGTGAAAATATAGCTAAATTCATCTCTAGTAATATTGAAAATAAATAGATAATAACCGCTTGCGATTAAAGCAATATTCTAATCTTTGTAATTCATGCAAACAGCAGTTACCATATCAGGGAAATAAAGTTCTTTAGACATCTATATCATTTCGTAAAAACGTTGCGATTTATTGCAAACTACTTTACTTAATTAAAGTCTAAAGCAATTCTATTTTAGCGTTGCACTAGAAAGTCCAGACCTAATACAAAATTAAACTAAGACTAAATTTTTATGTTAGTTTTCCGATTTAGAAGAGATTTCTTCGATATAGTTAAATTTAAATGCATCTACTAAATTTGATAATAATTCCTTATTGGTAACTTTGTTAATGAAATTCTGCTTGCATTACTATCTCATTTAGTTTTATAGTTCAAAGGTCAACATTTACTGAGTATCCTACTAATTACTTGCTATAGAGAAATAAATATGATCTTCGTTCATTCTTATTAATCGTTTTAACATCAAATTATCATTCTGCTTAAGCAATCGCCTACTTTGAAATTTATAGTCTTAATCGCTTAATTATTCTTCAATTTTAACTTCTAAGATTCGAGATTTTGTATTATCAATGAAGAATTATTAGTTATTTGGCTTACTGTAAATAGGACTGAAGAGAGTCTAGCCTAAAAATACAGGCTTGAAATTAATTTCGTTTATAAGGTACATTCCAAGATTATTTTCAGGCTAGTCATCTTGCAAAATAACATCTGGCAAGCAATAAAAGAGATTTCTCGATTTAACTATCTCAAAATGAGTATTATCTGGGAAGAGTTTCTAATTTTTAATGATTTCTCCGTTGCTCATGTCAAGTATCAAGACGCTTCCTGAATCCTATACACAGACTAAAATCAAGCTTAGCTTATAAAGAATAAGCTATGTTATTTAGCCAGAAATTTTTGAATTTTAAGCGATTACATTGCTTTACTCATCCACTAATAAAATTCTCGAAGTTTTCTGAATATGATCATATACAGATACTTAATATTTGTTCAAGCTTTACAAGTATAAAAAACAAGTGATCTCCTCCTACTGCAAATTGATTTCCTGTCTTAAATCTATGCAAGATTGCTTATACTCAATATTCTTGCCGATTTGATCTTAACAAATATAGAATGTATATACTACCAATTAATGAACTGATTGAAAGATAAGTCTAAATGTCTCATGCTAATGGATAAGCTAATATTTGCCTATAATGAAATCCAGTTATACCTCAAGCTTTGTTTATTAAAGACTATATTGATCAAACAATATAATGGCTGAGTATTATTGGCATTTAGTGAAGATTTTAGGCTCAGTTAGTATAATGATATATTGTAATTCTTAAGTTTGTAAAACATCTATGATATTTTAAGAGTCTAATAACCCATTGAAAGATGTTGAGGTTAGATTTTTATTAACTAAATCAAGTTACTACAGTTCATCGATTTCTAGAAATTTGATATAAATAAAGCTGTTCTATTCTGATTCTTGAACTAGCCATATTTTATCAATCATTTGCTCAAACTCTATTTTGCTTAATATCTAATAATTTTTGTATACTTCCCTTAGTTCATGAATCCCATTATGAGGAAGGAATCCTGCAACAACAAGTATTTTTGTATCAACACTATTAATTTTTTCAATCTCATAGTCAAGTATTGGTGCAAGATTTCTAAGATATTTTTGAGTTTCAGTCGTCCACTGGTTGTTATTGAATAGCTCCTAATCAATAAGCTACATCTCCTTTAGATCGAAAATCTCTACATTACCTCCTGTTTATTAAAACATAACAACATACTTCTCTTCTAGATTTAGAAGTGCTGAGCATGAAACCGGCAATCTAATGTCCTTAATTATCTATGTGCAGATTGAATCTATGGAGAAACTTTCATTGAAATCAAAAATAAAAACCTCATTTGTATCTGTCAAGGCCAGAATTCTAGTGCCTTGCTTTAAATATTCCACATGCTACACAAATTTCTAATATTTTTTCATTTGTTAATGGATTGATCTCAAAGACTAATTTTCTTGTAAATTTAGCTATGAATCTTCAGATTCAAAGTATTAGTAATTTATCATCTTCAGCAGTCTTTAATCTAGAAATATAATCTGTTTCTCTGTGTAAAAGCATAGCACAGGATTTTCAATGTGTTCTGAAATTTTGATAAAATTTTAATAGATTGTTTCTGTAGCGTTATTTTATATGGGATTAGTAGATGATATCGCTGGAAGTTCTATCTATTTGTTAAAAATAGAGGACTCAAGCTTGAATATTTTTTGAATTTGTTGTGACTTATTTTTCTCCATTAACCACAGCCTCTAGATTTAAGCGATAGTTTAGCAATTGCTTGGACTATATAAATTTAATAATGTATATTATCATACTCAAGTGTTATTGTTGCGATTATCATTGATTGTTAAACTCCATTTCCATTTAAATCCTCTGCTCCTATTCTCCAATCCTTGATAATCTTAAGCTAATAAATTGAGTTAAAGTTGGGTTCTTTATAAACAAATAGAGGACTGATCTCTGATTCCTAATTCTAGTTAATGAATTGAACTTAGTCAAAAATTAAAATTTTCTTATCTGATTCTTAGATTAATAGAAACTCGTTATTAAGACTTTAAATTTCTATTAATGGACAGGGCTTTACCTAAAAGCTCTTTTGCAAAGCATTATTTGCCATTTTTATCATTTTCACAATCTCTAAATCTTGATTGAGTAAAGTTAGCTATCCATTTTATGTCTGCAAAAGAATGTGCTTTTAAAGATTTTTATCAGAGATTATAGCCACATCTCTTATTAAGTCACTAAAATTTCTTTTTGAAATTGAGTGAAGTTAAAGATTATAAGGAGCACTGACCTTTTCTATTCCATTAGCATTCTGCTTTAACTCCCCATTATATTTTGAATCCTCAATTAACTCTTCAATATTTTAAATTTCATTACCTTGGTCTACTTTATTTTGGCAAGATATATCTACTTCATAATCAGGAAACATAATTTCAATAGTGCTTTCCTATATATTTGTATTAAGGAAAAAGAAAGTACTGTAATTATAATGATATCATCTTGAAATTTAATGTTAGCTGGGCTGATGAGCTTCTTGACTATTTGTGAGTAGAGCAAAACCTCACTTTTATATTTAACTTATTATGATGCTTCCTCCATTTTAATTATATATTCCTTAATCAACACAAAAAATCAATTATAGATTTAACAATAGATATGTTCTAGTATAAAAGCGTTTAAACTTTTAGGGGTTTTGGGGTTTTGGGG